GAGATAAAATATACAAAAACTCATGGTCAATGCCTTACACAACAAAAACATTTCACACATTGCAATCTTTAGGTCGCAGACCTTTTCGCTCCAACATAATGAGAACACTGATGAGAGGAGATCAGGCAGTCATAAAGAATGATTCCACCAAAGAAAGAAAGGACTTTGATCTCTTTAGAAAGGAAGGTTAAATCACCAGAAATAATGAGTCTGGGGTGTTATGACCATAAAGTCAAATTTAACCTCTTCATTTCACGTTCTGACCAAATGAATCCCACCAATAAAAGTGCATTTTACTTGGGGCTTATCATTACTGCATGTGTTGTAGGGAGGAAAATACAGACTAATTGTGGAAGTAAACCAACTATATATTGCCATTAACATTTACAATAATGAGGTTCTTCCTGCTTCCTATAAATTACAGTTCAAAACCCCCCCTATTTCTTCACAAAAATGATCCCTATAACATATATCTCTTCTAAATAATATCTCCTATCTCACCATATTTCTGATTCATATAACTCCCCAAAAACTTCTTGTATCTGTTCATATATCTGATCCCTTTAACGGATCCCGTCTCTCTATATAGCTGATCCCTATAACCACACCCATGTTTCCATATAACTGATCCCTAAAACACCTCCTACCTCTCCACGTAACTGATTTGTATAACTACCTCTACATATAACGGATCACTAAAATGACTCCCATCTCTCCATATAACCTATTCCCTTTAACTAATTCCTACAACTTCTCCAATCTCTATATAACTGATCCCTAGAATGCATCCTATCGGTTATGCATATAACTGATATTTATAACCCCTCCCCCCTTTCCATATAACTGGTCCATAAAACATCCCCTACCTCTCCATATTACTGATCCCTAAAACATCTCCTACCTCTCCATATTACTGATCCCTAAAGCACCTCCTGCCTCTCCATATATTTGATCCCATTAACTAATCCTATATTTCCATATAACTGATCCCTATAACTCATCCCACCTTTTCATATATCTCTATAACTACTGCTATCCTTCCGTATAACTGATTCTTACACTATCTAGTTCTATTCCTCCATATAACTGGTCCCTGTAACGTTTTCTACACCTACATATATCTATTTCCTACCCCCTCCATATACCTGAGCCCTAAAACCTCTACCATGCTTCAATAGAACTGATTCCTATAACCCCTCCTCTCCCCCCATCCTTCCATAATACTGATTCCTATAACCCCTCCCATCCTTCCATATACCTGAGCGCTACAACCCCTCCCATGCTTCCATAGAACTGATTCCTATAACTCCTCCCATCCTTCCATATACCTGAGCCCTACAAGCCCTCCCATGCTTCCATAGAACTGATTCCTATAACTCCTCCCATCCTTCCATATACCTGAGCCCTACAAGCCCTCCCATGCTTCCATAGAACTGATTCCTATAACTCCTCCCATCCTTCCATATACCTGAGCCCTACAAGCCCTCCCATGCTTCCATAGAACTGATTCCTATAACTCATCCCATCCTTCTATAGAACTGATCCCTATAACCCCTCCCATCCTTCCATAGAACTGATTCCTATAACCCCTCCCATCCTTCCATATACCTGAGCTCTACAACCCCTCCCATGCTCCAATAGAACTGATTCCTATAACTCCTCCCATCCTCCCATAGAACTGATCCCTATAACCCCTCCCATCCTTCCTTATAACTCAGGGGTAGTCAGCCTCCAGCTGTGGTGGAACTACAAGTCCCATGAGGCATTGCAAGATTCTCACAGCCATAGACATGACTCCTGGAGAGAGATGCATCATGGGATTTGTAGTTTCACCACAGCTGGAGGGCCGAAGTTTGGCTACCCGTGATATAACTGATCCCTAAAATCCCTATAACTTCTCTTATCTCTCATATAACTGATCCATATGACTTGCCTATGTCTCTATCCAACAGATCCCTATAACTTCTTCTATCTCTCTATATAACTGATCCCTGTCATGTCTCCAGTCTCTCATATTACTGATGCTTATAACTCCTTGAACTTGTCTTATCCCGTCATGTGATCAATCCTTAAATCCTCCTTTCTTCCTATATAAATAGAACGCCTCCCATCTCTGTATATAAGTGTTTCCTTTCTCTCCTCCTATCTCTCTATATACCTGTAGCCTGTAAATCCTCAAATCTTTCTATAACTCCTCCTTCTACCTCTGCATATAACAGATCCTTATAACACATGTCTCCATATAACCATTCCCTGTAATAATTCCTCCCATGTTTCCATATAACTGATTCCACCTCTGTAAATAACCTTTTATTTCTCTATATACAGTAACTACTTCAGCCTTTCCATATATAACAGGCCCCTTTAACGGAGCCCTGGTCTCAGTATACTCGTATTCCTTGAAAATATCTTTATCCGTCTCCACAGAGCTCTGTTTTAGTGTTTATTCCTGTGTCAGCAAATCTACGTTATATTAATTATTAATAACTCGGCAGCTAATTAATGAATTCAAACTCATTTTTTAAACACTCCACAAGCCTTTCACTGTGAACGCTCATTAACTCAAACTTTACGGGTCGTCTGCAAAAGACTCCAAGTACACACACACCGCTCATACCCCTCCTGTATCCAGAAAACATCAAAGCGAGGTATTTTAAAGCGTAAATAGCAAGGAGGAAAGAGATTATGGAAATAAAGGTGTGGAGGAGGGGAAGGTGTTTTGGAAAGCAAAAAAAATGTGGAGGAAGAGAAGGAGACAAGTGAAGTGAAAGGGATCATGGGAAGCCGTTGGCTGCAACATAGGTGGTGAAAGAGGAATTGGATGTGGGGAGGAAAGGAGTAGACACAGATAATGTTTACAACAACCGAGAAGAAAAGAAAACGTAGCAGATATGAGGAAACATTTGGCTTGGGATGTTTTCATAACAGAGATGTACTAAATAACTACATCCTGGGATTTATTTAATAACAAAGCAAACATTAATAATGTACAGTGAACACACATCTATCATAGGTGAGCTTTCAAAAGTCTAACTACATCAGCTGGCGTAGGCTTGGTTTACACTTGCGTCTTTGATGCATTTGTTTTGCACTCCCATTGAACTTGATGGGCCCAAAAACAAACTATCGCACCAAAAAGAGTGCCTGCACCTTTGTAAATGGGCCCCACAGACAATGAAGGGATTCCTCTTGTTGTGCATTGTCACGTGACGGCCGAAGCGCGACCAACCGCGCAGGTGTGAATGGGGACTTGCTCAATAAGAGCATTGTCAAACATAAACAGTCCAAACAGAATCCCTCTTTATTAAAGCAGTTCGGGTTGCTATGGGTTACTGCACTTTTCACAAAACACGTCCCTCCTTGCGCTATTGAATAAACACTTTAAGGTGATTTGTGAATGGCTGCTGGGAACAACAGCACCTAGATGTGCTTCGCCATATGTTATTGACAAGATTGTCTGACCAACCACAGTAAAGGATATAATAACAAAGCAAGCTCCAAAACTACAAAAAAAGGAAGGGAAAATGTGAAGAGGAATGTGAGGCCGTAAATGAGGCTACTATACACCGACTGATTAAAAAGGTGAAGGCTGGCACAGAGTGGGCATTAAATCATGTCATGAGGCATAACACAAGGAAACCTGCAGGGAACTGAAAGGAAGTGCTGGGCAAAAACTGGAGACACAGGTGTGAAATCTGAAGCACATCCATAGCCAAAATCTGATATTGTACACTGGATTGTGAAGTCTGTAGGGAACTAAAAAGAAATAGAGAGGGGGCAAGTGCAGGCTCCCACTATGTCTGCACTACAGAAATGCCCAACACCCCATATAATGGCAATAATTAGGTGACCCTGTCCCTAATCTGTAAAACATTATGTCCACTGATTACTTCAGGTAGCCAAGGGCAATGGTGTGTGAAAAGGGGCCCCTAATTACATTTCCTAACAGACAAAGGACTCAGGGATGATAAGATAAGGGGTAAGGTGACAGAAGGGTGCAGTCAATGGGAAGGCAAAACAAAACCATACCAAAGAGGCATAGTGAGACTAGTGTGTGTATGTATATGGAGGGGGCAATAAGAGTACATAAAGCTGGAGGAAGATGGGAAGGTAAGGGAAGACAAAACAATTCCAAAAAGGCAGAGTGAGACAAGTGTGTGTGTGTGTGTGTGTGTGTGTGTGTAGGGGGCAATAAGAGTACATAAAGCTGTAGATGGGAACATGGGAAGATGGGAAGGTAAGGGAAGACAAAACAAAAGAGGCAGAGTGAGACAAGTGTGTGTATATGGAGGGGGCAATAAGAGTACATGAAGATGGGAAGGTAAGGGAAGACAAAACAATACCAAAGAGGCAGAGTAAGACAAGTGTATGTGTGTGTATATGGAGGGGGCAATAAGAGTACATAAAGCTGGAGGAGAATGGAAGGTAAGAGAAGACAAAACAATACCAAAAAGACAGTGTGACAAATAGGGGGGAGCAATAAGAGTAGCCAAAGCTTGGGGAATATAGGAAGCAGAGGACGGAGATGGCAAAAGTAAAGACTAAGAGATTATAAGATAAGGGCTATGACAGGAGGGTGAAGTCAAAAGGAATGTGCAGGTAATGGGAAAATAGAACGAAACAATACAAAAAGGCAGTGTGACAAGTATGGGGAGCAATAAGAGTAGGTAAAGCTTGGAGGATATGGGAAGCAGAGGACAGAGATGGCAGAAGTAAGGAGCTAGGGATGTTGCAATAGAAATGAGTGAGTTAGAGACCCCAGATAAGAGGGAATCAGAGAATCAAGCAGGCAGGAGGGGAATCTGGATACATGTTACAAAAAGAGGTGATCTTATACAAGTCATCATCAAGCTACAAAATAGAGGAAAGTGAAGAAAAAGCAAAGGTCCAAGTAGCCAACAAGTGATCGGGGGAGAGAGGAGGAGTAGTAAGTGATATGGAGAAGGAGGGAGTGAGAGAGGAAAGACAAGGGGGAGGAACAAAAGCAACCAGTAACTGACCTGTGGGAGTCTCAGTCTCCAGGGGGAAGCACAGGGGGGCGATGAAGAGTAGCTGTAGCAATTGGGGGTACATTATGCCCATGTGCAATTCCTTAGATGAGTATGCTCTCCTTCCCTCTGTAGCCAGCCGTGTACATTTCTGCTCTTTATCGCGACATACTTCTCTCCCCCCTATGTCATTCCAGCCTGCTCCAGCACGGGAAAGTTGCAGAGTGCAGGAGAGTGTCAGACTAGCTGAGTGTACCGAGGCTGACGTCATGTGCTGCCAGTTCCAGTAGCAGCAGCGCCACCTGCTGGACACCCGAGGGACACGGTGCAATAGTGACATCTGCTGGGCTATGCATCAGAGCTTCCGTGATGGACTACGCATTGTTCTCCCCAGACTACTACACAAGCTGCAGCTCTCCAGCGCCAGCTGCCGAGGGAGCACAGGAGCCAGCATGTGTCCAGAGTCCCATACTGAGATGTAGGGTGCATACTCCACACAGCATATGTTCTTTTATTCCTGGCAACTCCCCTCTCATCGAGCATTAAACATTCGCTCTGTCTCTTTGTTTTTATCAGACTTCACTGACAACATGATTTGTAGGACTACTAAAATTAGATCACCTTTCCTAGTGTTAGATCAAAGCTGCTTATCTAGAAATGTAAGCGGACGTAGATTCTTTCAGGACGGACCTGTATTGCACAACATCACATGTATTGATACTAATTGACACATGAATTAGTAACATGCGATCATTCGTTCTGCAGGAAAAACTTGTTACTTCGAAAATCGGAGCGCTGTCGGGATAATAGGGGGGATGTTACTCTTTGCTGCCGCCTAGTGGCCAAATACGGTAATGCCGGACATTTGTGCTGCTGATCCAGTGGCTTGATTCACACCTAGGCGACGGCGTTGTCGCGCCTTTTTATGAGCCGATTACACAAATGGGAAAACCAATAACAATGCGCGTTTCCAATTGACTCTATGGGGGCAAATCGAGCTGTAATCTGCCAAAAAGAAGCGCATGCACTTTTTTCAGCGACAGGTATTTTGCTTATTGCGACAAAATGCTCAGATGTACACAGGGGCCATGAGAATATTTGGGGGGAAGCTTTTTGTCACGCTGAATCAACTGCGACAATACGCTCAGTGTGAACAAGACCCTAGGCAACAGTGTTTCAGTGCAGATTACGAGCTTTTCTTTGCGCATTTACACATGTTTTTCTGAGCAGATTGTGCCATATTGATGTGAATGGAAAACACGCAGAAAATGGCCAAAATAATTGTGTCGCACATTTCCAAACGTTTCCTGTGGAGTCTATGGTGACAAATCGAACTGATCTGCCCCCAAAAAAGTACTTTTTCCAGTGACATGTTTTTTTACACGTGCTTGGGTGTAAACAGGGCCTAAGACTTGGTTCACACTGAGCGTTTTGGAGCTCTTTTTCTGCCCTAAAAGAACATAAAAAAATATGCCCCCAAAAAAATCCCATTTATTCCTATGGCCCTGTTCACATGTGAGTGGTTTGTCACAATAAGCAAAACACCTGTCGGAAACAGTACATGAGCTTCTTTTGGCCCCACAGACTCAATAGAAGATGCTTGAAAACGCGCGTTTGCTGTGTTTTTGCGCATGTTTAACCTCTTGCCGTCCGCCCTTAGTAGAAAAACGGACGGAAACACCGCGGATGTCAACTGGTTAAGGTGCGTCTGGCCATTAACATCAATGAGCTAAAACGTGTGACTTCATTTATGCGCATAAATCGCGCAAAAACGCTGTTGCCTAGGTGTGAACCCAGCCCAAGAGTTGGCACAAGGTGCATTTTGTATATACGGCAATTTGTTGGGGGGTTTTTTGGTAACCAGAAGGGCTCATTCAGACTGACATACACATCCTACCATGTGCACACCCATAAAAAAAAAAAAACTAATCCTGGGAAGAGAAAAGGATAGGGCTGCAGCTAATGATTATTTTCATAATCGATTAGTTGCCAGATTATTTTTTCAACTAATCAATTGGTTGGATTAAAAAATTCTCTCTCTCTCCCCTTCTCCCTCCCCCCCCCAACTAATAGATGATGAGAATTGTTGCTATTCTCATCGTTTATAATCGATTTAATCAATAAGTTGTTGCAGCCCTAGAAATCGATCCACTATGGGAAGATACGGCTGCACGCAATTACACAAGATCACATGCACGGATCCAAGTGCGGGCACCCAGACCTGAGGCATAGATGTTCAGCCTCGGATGTGCGTGTGACCACGTGTAATTCCATGCACCCACATCCTCCCATATGTGCACGCCTGAATAATGTTTATTTAAGGGATATACGGTATTATTTAGTCCCTGTTCACAAAACACTCAAGACAAGGAATCCCATACATTTCTATGGCCTCTGTTCACACTTGAGAGTTTTGTCGCAAGCAAAAAAAACACCTGTCGGGGGGGCGTGGCCAACCATGGTGGTGTGAAGACGTGCAGCCGCGAGCTCTGCTACACCGGAGCTCCCTAAAACTGACTTTTCAGCACAGTGAACGGATTTTTGACCCCCTATGCCCGACGACAAAGTCTCACCCGGCGGCCCTGTCTCATTATCTACCCGGGACATCGCCTCCTACTTTACGAGGCATCCGGACGCAGCCGCAGACACGTGGAGCCGCAATATGGCGCAGAAGGTCGCCCAGCCACGAAAGACGGGACCGGATCCCCTACAGCCACATGATTACGTCACCGCGCCGCACCGACGTGATAACGTAATCCCGCTCGACGACGCAATCCGCCGGGCCTTCTGTCGTCTGCGCCTGCGCAACCGGCCCGTGCTGCCGGATCACCTCTCTGCCTATGTCCCCGCAGAGGGACACGGCATCTCCCACAACCAGGTACCCGACAGCCACAGACGCCAGACTCAAGCCTCCGTTCCTCAGCACGCACCTCGGGGACGAGACCACAGGATCCCCCGCAGCTTCTCCACCCCTCTGGGACCCAGGAACCCTCCTCCACCCTCCTGGACCCTTCGATCCCGCCTGTCTTCCTGGACTCAGAACAATCTGCAGCCACTGAGGTACGTGACCTGTTTGCTGCCTTTCGGGCAGACTTTGATACCTGGGCCACAAGACTGGAGGGGGCTCTGAGGGGTGAGGTGAATGGGCTCAGCCGAAGGGTCACAGACTCACGGCTTACCACCCTATCAGACTCAGTGTCAGCCCAGGAGACCCGTTTGGAGACCCTAGAAACAGCTCAGGCAGCCCACCGGTCCCACCTCCAGCAGCTACATCTAAGAGTGGAGCATGGTGAAAACAGGAGTCGCCGCAACAACGTCCGCCTGAGGGGGATCCCAGAGGCCACCCAGGGCGCCGACTTGCATGCTACGGTGACTGCTATCCTTAACCAGGCGCTTGGCAAACCTCCTACTGATGTCATCGAGCTTGACAGGGTTCACCGGGTTTCGGGCATCGCCATGGGCAACCCTAACAGGACCAGGGATGTTCTCTGTCGGGTGCATTTCTACGCCATTAAAGAGGAGATCCTGCGCGCTGCATGGAGACTGGGCCCGGTGGACTTTGATGGAGCATCCATACAACTTCTCCCAGATCTCTCCCGCATTACCCTGGCTATGCGCAGAGTGGTGCGGCCGTTGCTGGATGTCATACGCCAAGTTGGGGCCTCCTATCGTTGGGGACACCCTTTCAGCATACAGATCCGTAAGGGCCCCGAATCATTTCATCTACGCTTTCCATCTCAACTCCCGGACCTGTTCGGCTTCCTGGGGTCTGACCCGGTGACTGTCCCTGACTGGCTGGATTTACCATTCTCCGAAGAGGGCGCCGTGCTCCAGGAGGCCCTTCCTCAACGACACAGACGGGCTCGCTCACGTTCCGCCAGGCGAGGCCCTACAGCGCAGATGCTGGCAGCCCCTTCTTCTAATGAGGGTTGATGCCCGACCAGGGTCGCACTGGTTATGTATGTGGGGTGCATGGCCTCTGATCTGAACTGACGTTAACCCTCCCATTTTCCTCCCTAGGTGCCTGGATGTTATGCCGCCCGCCATGTTATGTTTTCCTATGCGGGGGGCTCCTGGTGTGGGGGGACCCCCCCGTCGACCCCTCTGTACCACCCTTTTTTTTTGGGGGGCGGGGGGATCCGGCTCCACGCTGGGACCCGGTTGTGGATCTGAGGGGGAGAGGTGGGACATGGAACTCCAGCCGGCTCCTGTGGGAGGGGAGGGGTTGATGGAGCTTACCAGTAGCTGCCCTCAAGAAGACCTAATCTGTTGCTGAGTATTAATGTGATTTCGGCTGTTTAACACTAAATTTTTTTTTTTTTGGAACTCCTACTTATTTTTGTGTCTGCGTGGCGCATGGGAGGGGGCGGGGTCGCTCCTACCTTTGGGGCGGGACTGTCCCCCTCCGGGGTGCCCTACTAGGCTGCTCGGAGTGGACCTCCTCTGCCCTCGTGTAGGGGGGCCGGGTGGGCCCATACTGATATATGTATTTGAAGTTTTACTTTTATAGACTTGCATGCTTCAAACACTTTTTACAGTTTTACATTATATTTCTCTGTATTTAGTTGAACAGGGGCAATCCTGTTGTTGTCTAGGTGTCGTCAGACTGGGGGCCCCGGTAGGCATCTTGCTACCCCCTTGTTTGACCACATCCCCCACATAGGTGACACATCTCCTGCTGGAGACGGTGTACTCTAGCTTTGCTAGACGGTTTATCTTATAGGTAGCGGGTTTTATCCGCCCTTTTCAGTTTAAATTTGTGTTGATTTATCTCTTCCTGGTCATCTTGTCCTTGACACTCTTACTTATCTCCCTTTTTCCTTCTCTCTGCACCCTTACCCACTGAAACCTACACCACCTCGA